CCCCCCCCCGATATTTTTCCATGGACTTTTAGAGAGAGTGGAAAGGAGGGGGAGAAACAGAGAGGGAAACATCGATGCGAGAGAGACACATCAATTGGTTGCCTCCCGCTCATGTGCCCCGACCGGGGCTGGAGATCGGGCCTGCAACCGAAATATGTGCCCTTCACAGGAATCGAACCCGGGACCCTGTGGTCTGCAGGTGGACACTCTTATCCACTGAGCCAAGGTTAGGGCTGATGCATCATCATCATTTTTTTTTTTTCATCTCTTCTGCTTTTAAGGGGTCCCTTTGGACTTGGGCTCTTGAAACAGAACACAGGGCTTCACGGTTCCCCAGTCGTGTGTCTCTGCGTCTCTGCCTGGGCCCGTGGGGCAGGGAAGCAGGGAGGCGAGGAGAGTTTGCTGACCCAGTCCCGGCCTCTCGCCACGTGCCTCCCGGGGGCTCTGGCCTGGCCCTCTACCCTCAGCTGCTCCTTTTTAGAGTCCATCCACATTCTGTTATTCTGGACTTGGCTGAGGCCAAGGGGTGAGCTGGCAGGCATCCTAGGCAAACAAGAGCAGCTGGAGAGCAGAGGAACTCCGGGGGTGGGAAGATGGCCCCAATCAGACACTCCGCGGTGGCCGCCCGGGCTGTGCAGAGGCCTTGGGCCCACGTGTTCGGGAACAATTCGGGAAGGAGAATTCGGTGGAAATCGGGCCTCCTCTGGGCTGCGGTCTGGGGACGGGAGGTAGCCAGGGTTCAAGTCCAGCTCTGCCATGAGAGCTATCCGCTGGGGGGGACTACGTGACTCGACTGTTTGAGGAGTAAAGGACTCAGTGCACACGAAGGTTCCTGACCTGGAGGAAAGGTGGGCATTAGGGTTGCAATGGGCCAGGGGCAGCTCTGTTTTCCGTGCACGCTGGCCATGAAAGCAGACACCATCTCCTCCTCACTCCTCAGGGGAGGACCAAGAGGCAGAGGTTGAGAACCTGCCTAAAGCCACACTGTGGGTCCGTGGCAGAGGGGAGACAGTGGTCAGTGTGAACTATCCACCACATTTCATAAGCTTGGCACAGCCAGGCTTGGATCCTGCGTCTGTTTGACTCCAGAGCCCAGGCCCCTGGTGCCATGGCTGGGGCCGGGCGTGGAGGGGACCCGGCAGCACAGAGCTGCCCGGTGGGGCCCGGACTCGGCCCTCACTTCTGGCTTGGCGAGCAGGGTCTCAGGCTCATTTCCTTTATCTGCAAAGTGGGCCTGCGTGACCAGCAGGGCCTTTCTCCTTGCTGGGTTCCTGGCTAGTGGGCTCCCCGGGCTGGAGCAGGCCTAGGGGCTGCCAGGAGAGGCCTCTGAATCTGTCCAGCGTTGGCAGACCTGCCCTCTGGGGGGTGGGCAGTCAGGGCCGGGAGCCAGAGTCGGCAGTCCTATGTCCACTTGGTGGCCCCCTTTCAGGGGTGTGTGCCCCAGCCTGCCCTCGGGGTGCTCCAGCATAGAGGGCACGCACACACAGCTGTCCTAACAGGCGGCCGGGTGTTGCAATGGGCTTTTACAATGTGCTTAGGGGAGCCAGAGGTTGAAGCACTGGCTGCAGTCCAGGAAGGCTTCACAGAGGAGGAGGGTTTTGCAGGCTGAGTAGGAGTTCCAAGGTGGAGGTCATGGGAAGGGTGTTCTTTCTAGAGGAAGCAGCGATAAGTATCAGCTACTCAACTCCATCTGCTCCTCCATCCCCAGTTGCCTGGCCATCTCTGTTTGCAGGGGGCTGGAGCCTGGACCTAATATTTTCCAGAGTCCCTGGCCAACGAGTTTCCGAGGAGGTTCTGCCAGTGGGGAGAAGGCAGGCGGACCTGGGCAGGCTCTGTAGAGCCGGCAGTTCTGTTGGCACCAGGGCTGCAGGGACAACCTTTCTGGCAGCGAGGAGGTGCGGCCTGACAGGCTCCTGGGCTCCTGGCTGGCCGTCCGGGCGGTGAGCTCCTTCCCGATGGCTGGGTGACACTCCTCTCCTCCCTCTCCCACCTTCCGGATGCCTCTGCCACCAGTTTCCCCAACGAACTCCTCTCAAGTGGCTAGTGGTTTCTGTTTCCAGTACGTTAGTAATTGGTAAATGTTCAGCAGTGCAGGCCTGAACCAGGGGGTAGTGTTCAAGGAACAGAAGGATTCAGCACCTAGATCATGTGATTCATTTATTTTGGTTTATTGTTAGGAGCATGTCATGTTTTTCAACATGGGTTCCCTGAGGACCGGAGACTGTCTTCGATCATCTATTCAATCAACAAACACTAGTGGGGAATGAATGAGGTGAATGACCAAGCCCCCACTCTCCTGGGATCACAGTCTGGACATGGCACTGTCCACTGTGGTAGCCCGTAGCCACTGAGGCCACGGACACCTGAAAGGCAGCCAGTCCGAACGGAGACAGCTGTCAGTGTGAACTCTACACCACATTTCCAAGACAGTGGGTGCAAATAGGAATGCCAAGTGTCTCACTGATAATTTTTATATTGGTTACGTGAGGAAGCACCAATGTTTTGAATATATTAGATAAAGTGTATTTCACCTGTGTCTTCTTTATTATTAAGGTATTATATGTGTACATATCTTACCATTGCCCCCTCCACTCCCATACATGCCCTCACCCCCCTAGAGTTTTGCGTCCATTGGTTATGCTTATATACATGCATATAAGTCCTTCGGTTGATTGCTTATCTCCCTAACTTTCCCGTCTTTTTTTTTTTTTTTAAGTATTTTTTTTTTTTATTGATTTCAGAGACGAAGGGAGAGGGAGAGATAAAAACATCAATGATGAGAGAGAATCACTGATGCCCACCCCATACTGGGGATTGAGCCCTGACCGGGAATCAAACCATGACCTTTATGGTTCATACGTCGATGCTCAACCACTGTGCCACGCTGGCAGGGTTCTTTACTCTTTTTAATGTGGCTTATATTACATCTCTTTTGGACAGCGCTGGTTTTACGGGAGCTGAGTTCAAATACCGTGATTTACCAGTTCAGCATTTATTAACGTCTGTTTAAGAGATACTTGGCCTCTGCCCCTGAGAACGTCAGATAGAATGGCAAGGGGGACACATATACCAAGACGGAACTAAAATTCATGGTAAATGTTTGAGTTGGTCCACACGGCAGGGCTCTGGGGGCCTGAGAAGAAATCTGTGAAGGCTTCCCGGAAGAGGTGTCTCTGCTGCTAAGCCTTAGAGGGCGAGTAGGAGTTCACAAGACTGGCGAGGGAAGGGGAAGGACACGAGGTTCAGGCAGCTGGACACGCGGCGAAAGCTAAGGAGCTGGCAAGCACACAGGGCTGGGGAGATACGGGAAGTTCACTGCTGCCCAAACATGTTTTGTTTGAGAAGGAGGCTGGAGAGCCTCGAACACCAGTCAAGTTTGGATCTGGCTGGTTCCAGTGCGAATGAGCTCACCCCCTCGCCCTCCTCAAAGGCATGAAAAGAACCAGACAGACCTTATTTGAATGTGCAAAATAAACTCTTTAATTTCAGAGCTCGCTCCTTGTGGCTCAAAAGCATATCTACTGATTGCCTGATTGGAACTCGAAAGCATTCACAACACCGTGGAGAAACAGCAATAGATAAAACAGATGTGTTGGCTCACTGTGGGACTCGTCCCCTGTGCGAAGCAGCCAGTTCTAAGTGCATCAGCGTGACGCTCCCCAAGGCCCTCCCCCTGCCCCGGTCTTTGGGGGACCCCAACTCCAGACGGAGAATGCTCTCTTTTCCCCTCCTCCAGCCTCAGGGAGACCCAGGCATATGGAGAGTGAGGGGGGTTAAGCAGAGAGGGGGCGGCCGGGCTGTGGACTCTCTTGGTCAGTGGGCAGCAGGGGCAGCTGAGGCGTGCTTTGAAGTCAGTCTAGCCACTGCACTGGGTAGGCTCATGGGTTGGACAGGGGCCTCGGGGATTCTTTTCCCTGGAAACTGGGGTCTGATGGAAGGGGCCTGGGCACAGGTGTGGGGCCTGGATAGGCTGGGGGCAGAGCCGTGGTCCTGGTCATGGTTTCACTCTTAGAACTTCCCCCTCCCTCCCCCCCCACCCCGACATGTGGCCATGCTCTGCGGAGCCAGGGCGAAGGACTTGCCGGGTCACACACGGCGTCGGGAGAGCTGCGAGGGCCTTGGAGGTGAGGACCTCGAGGCCCGGAGAGGAGAAGGCAGTGGCTGGCCGCCCCTGGGGCTCTGACCTCTCCCAACGCTTCCCACTTCCTCACCCCGACTGCGTCCTTTTGGATCAGGTCCCGGATGGCCTCCCTGCCACCCTCAGGTCCGGGCTGGTGGCACAAACGGGGAGCTGGACTCGGAGTCAGAGGCCTGTGCTCCGTTCCCAGGCCTGCACCTTCCCTAGCCTTTGGAATACCCACCAGCCCACCTGGGCCCGCAGGCCACCTCCCTTTCTCCCAGTCTCGGTCTCCTCCTCCTTGAGAAATCAGCTCCCGCTCTGCAGTTTCCCGTGGGGACTAAATGGGCTGGCAGCCACGAGAGTACCAGCAAGCACAGGAGGCACCTGCACGTCGGTGCTTCACAATCGTGGGGGGAAGCTGGGGGTGGCGGGGAGCTGTGGGCCAGAGCTCCTGGGATGTGGGAGGAGCTCCAGCCCATCCTACACCTGGGACCCGCCCCATCCCCACCTGCGCTGGCTCTCCCAGGGGCTCCTGGGGCCCGGACACAGTCTGGGGAAGGGGCACAGGACATGCCAACTCTGGAGCCTGTGCTCCAAGGGGCTGTGGTAGAGAGCAGACAATGTGGGGTGATCATGGCTTTCCAAACGGCACCTGGGCTGGAGGGGGAGGTGTGAATCTCGTTTTCTCCATCCCAGGCCCAGTCAGCCCCACTGGGGAGGCACAGAACATCGCTCCTGGGTGAGGGGGTGGGAACCAGGCTCAGGGGACAAGACGGGTCTGGGGCCACGGAGGGGCACATTTTCCTCATTAGCTTGGGAGAAAGACTGGGGATCAGGTTGGGGCTGTGGGCTGGCTGAGGTGGGGCTGGCACGGAGCCCCTTAGGGGGGGCCGATGATGACGTTCCTATAGCCCTTCACGGCCTTCAGCTTGTTGCTGTTGAAGTTGACCACCAGCTTGTGGAGGCCCACCCAGATGGGCAGCAGGCTCACTCTGACCTTGACTTCCTGCCCCGCCTTCACGGGGCTCGGGCTGCGGAGAGAGAGGAGGAGGTGGAGGGGATGGTGCAGATGGCTGTGTCTGTGGGAGGGCCTGGGCGTTGGGGTGGGGGGAGGTGTTTAGTGACAGGAGGTGTAATTGTTCAGGTTTATGAGACACGTGCATGGAACACAGGGGTGTGGGTGTTGAAAGGATGGGGGAGAGGGGCGCAGATCTGCCCCAAGGGTACCCAGGCAGGTGTGGGGTGGGTGGGTGGGGCGGAGGAGAGGCGGGTTGATGGGCCGGAGTGTGGTGCCTCTATCAGCATCTGCCCGCTGCCCCCAGTCCCCAGGCTGGAGGGACCGACACTTACACATCCACGGTTATCTGTGACTCCATCAGGCCAGCGCCCTCCACGGTGATGATGCAGCCCTCCAGGGGCTCGGGGAGCGGGTTCTGCAGGGACACCTCGGCCACCAGCTGGCGGTTCTTCTTGGGCTCCCCCAGGATCTGGGGCGGGGCACAGGGTAGAGGTCAGGGGCCGCATTGAGGGAGGGGCCCAGGACCCCTCAAGGGCAGCAGGGTCCCGGCTGGGCCATCTCTGCACTTGCTGCAATTTGGCCCAATGTTTGCCGAGCATAGCCACGCCCATCCTGCCTCTGTCACTCCTGACCTCTGTGCCTCAGTTTCCTCATCTGGAAAACACGGTGATGGTACTGGGCCAGCCTTCTTCGTGAAGGCTCCACACAGCCCACGGGGGCTCTGCAGCCTCCCTTGTTCTGGGGCCTCCAGTGGGAAGATCACAGGCTTTGGAGCCAGCTGATCTCTGCCCCTCCCTCTCTGGGTGACCCCGGAAGTCACTACTCTCTCGGAGCCTTGGTCTCTTTGCGGGAGAGACGTGCCTGGCTGCAGGGTTCTCACAGGGGCTGCTGAGCGAATAACGTGCAAGCGCCTGGCAGAGGGTCCGGCACACGGCGCTCACTCCCTCACCCTCTGCTCTTCACCATTGACACGCAACTGCTGCATTTGGGATGCAGAGCGGCTCCTGGAAGTGAATCACTATGACGACAACGATGCTGATGGTGACAACAGTCAGTTTTTATCGAGCCCTTGCAGTGCACTGGATATGCTTCTATGTGCTTCTTGTGGATGCAGATTTAACCTTCCAACGCCCACCTTACAGATGATTAAACTGCCTGGCTACAGGGTTGGGGGGGGGGGAGGGAGGGATGGAGTAGCGTGCCCGGGGTCACCCAGCCACAAAGCCAGACAGTCAGACTTCAGAGTCTATGCCCTCGACGCCTCCACCCTCCCTGTCCCATCAGGGTCCCAGGCTCTGGGGATCTAGCTTTAGGAGGTTAGCCTTTAAGGGTCCATGACCCTGAGATCCCTGAATGCCAGGACTCTACCACGCTGAGATTCTAGGATCCATCCCTAGAGGCTAAACGAGTCCCATGATTCTTTGGGCTTCACGATGCTTTTCACGAGGATCCCTGAGGTGCCAATGAGCCTGAGGGAGCAGGGATGCAGGGGCACGAGGCCTGCCCTCCCCCAGCTCTGGGCTCGCCCTGGGCCCCTGCCCAGTCAGCCCCTTACCCGGATCTTGATTTCTGGGTTCTCCAGATAGATGTCCCTCTCGGCCACCAGGTAGATGTCGGTAGCTAGATCGATGAGGAGGCCCCGCACCTTGATGAGGTTGGACTCCGTCAGGTAGTCACAGTACTTCTTGTAGAGCACCGGGAGGGTGATGCTTTTCTCTGCAGGGGAGCGGGGAGGGGAGGACGGGGAGAGCACACGTCATGACCGAGACACAGCCCCACCTCTCCTCCTGCGTTTCCACCGGCACAGAGAGGGCAAGGGATGTGCTTGAGCTCACACAGCTGGAGGATGGCTGGGCAGGTCCCAGGGCTCCCCCCTGCCTGCCCTGGTTCCAGGGAGCCCAGGGAGAGAAAGTAAAACAGCTGGCCGGGCAAGGCCTGGAGCTCTGCCTGGCCTGGTGCTGATGCTCCCTTCCCCGCTTTGCTCACAGGGATGCTGGGCAAGTCCCTCCGCCGGTCAGGACCTCGCCTGCCCCTGGGAGGTCGGCCGGACTGTACCATTTTACAGACCAAGAAACGCTCTGCCAGTCGGTGCTCAGATCGGGAGACCGGGCCCTGGTTGGCCAATGATGGCTGAGCGAGCCTGGGAAGATGACCTCCCTCTCTGTTTTCCCTGTTCCCTCTGATTTCCCCACACAATTGGCACCTGAACGCGGGCAGGGCTGAGAGCAGAGGTCCTGTCAGAGCAAGAGCCGCACAGCAACGCGGGAGTAAAAGAAGGAAGCGAGGGTCAACCCCTCCCCCTGCGGAGAAACCACGTGTGACGATCCGCCCATTATTCTGACCAGAACACGGAGGCCTGAAGGAGGCAGGGAAAAGAACACAGGACGGAGACTGCGCAAGCCTGAGCCAGGCCCTGCTTGTCCTGTTGGCCACCGAGAGCCTGGGACAGATCCCTGTTCCTTGGGCCTCTCTTGCCAAACAGGATCGCTGGAGGAGGGTCCCTGGGCCCCGTATCATCCCAGTGCCTCTCTCCATCGTCCCCGTGCCATGACAGGAGATGCTGGTGCCTCTTTTTCTGCTATCTGCCCCCTCGCTCCCCCACCGCTAACTAGACCAGCATTTCCCAAACGCCAGCCATTCACCATTTTTCACCCATCTGAGAGCATCCTAATCCTTGGCTCGTTGTTTTTCTTTCAGTCCACTCACTTATATTTTCCAGCCTATTCTAACCAGGGAAAAATTTTCACCAACATTTGCAGCAAACCAATCAATCTCCTTTTTACCCTAAATAGAAGGTGACTGCTAAAAAAAAATACGTACAAGCTAAGTCATGCCCATTCAATTCTGGTGAGATAGTCTTGTCTGCGAAGGGCTCTCAGTCTGAGACCTGAGCTTACTGTTCAAAAGGGAGATTAGCCAGGGCTGGGACGCTAAGACCCGTTAGCGCCCACCGAGCCGCTCCCCGTGGTGAGGTCATCTGAAGGAGAGCGAAGACCGGAGAGTCCCTTTCTCACAGACGATCCATGTCCCAGCCTGTGGGAAACGCTGCCTTCGTGTGGCCATTCATTCCCAGGGTGGACCTGACCCAACCTCCGATCAGATGACATCAGGGGAAGAAAACCAAATCCTCCGCCAAAAGGGACAAAAAAGAGAGAAAATTCCCGGTGGGGCCGAGCGGAAAGTCTGACCAGCGCCACAGGAAAGAAAGGAAACACTGTGGTCCAGGAGCCCCGAGGACATGGCCCTAACTGTTGACTTTTCCAGGAGGCTGAACCGGGTGGGGTTGGACCTTCGAGAACCGCCTTTTGCCGGCTGGGACCACGGCCTGGGCCCCGGGCCAGGGCCTGGCCGAGAGAAGGAAACTGGCCCGGTGGTTTCAGTCATTCCTTAGGTGATTTGCCAGTTCTGGAGTGTGCTGCGGGCAGGCGTGATCACCAATTGGCTGCATTCCCAGTGACCACCCGGAGGGGGGAGGGAGGGGAGAGAGAGAGAGAGAAAGGGAGGGGCGGCCAGGGGAGGGAGAGACACAGCAGGGCAAGGAGGCAGGGTAGGGGCGACTGGATTCTGTTCTGCCACCCTAGGCCCCGCTTCCTGTCCATGAGCACATGGAAATCCCCCAGATCTTATCATCCGGGAATAACGCGCAACTCAGCTAAAGAGGGGGGTTTTCAAGAGTCACAGAACCTATCTCAGGTTGGGCCCCTGGACTAGCTCCGCCTCGCAGCCTGAGGATACCGTCCTCTGCCCTCTCCCTGCAGGCTGGGCCCCGGAGGGTCCAGGGCCCCCGGTGTGAGCACACCCCCAGGATGCGGGGAAACACTGGCAGGCGTGGCAGACGCCTCGGCGGAATAGTGGGCCCAATGGCATCTGGGCGGCAAAGAGTCCCGGGAGGAAGTCATTACCCCTGGTCCAGGCCGAAGCTCACGCCTTGCCACCCATTCCAGGAAGGGCACTTCCTCCCTTTGGAGTGGTCCCGAGCCCAAGAAGGACGTGACATGCAAGCATCCCAACAAATGAGCCAAAGGGCCCTGCAGAGGTGAATCAGGCTTTGTCCAAACGGGGAACCCGAGGCCTGGGATGGAGAAGAGAAACAGCCTGGCACCCACCGCCCGCCACCAGAATTGGGAGTCCTGACCTCCCCGCACACCTGACACGTAGGGCCTGGGTGCCTAGGGCCATGCTGGGTCCTTGCCCTGCCGCCCAGGGCAGCAGGGCTCAGGCACCCCTGCGCCCAGCACTGAGACCACGACCTGGCCCAGCCGGTGGTCAGGAAAGGTCCTGTTTGCCCTTCTGCTCGGCGAGGAGGGAAGCCCCCGCCATGCCCGGCACCGCTTCGCACTTTCCGGCCAGCTCTTGGGCACACATCCCCAGAGGGCCCTACCGGTGGGCATGTTGCTGCCCCCATTAACAGATGAGTACGGGTTGCGGCTCAGGCAGCATGGCCACCTGCCCAAGGCCATGCATTTAGGAGGTGGTAGAGGCCACATTCAAAGCCTGTCTGACTGGCCTCAAAAGTAAGGTGACCAGACGTCCCGCTTTTGGCGGAACAGACCCGATTTTTAACAATTTGTCCCGGGTCATGCAGCGTTTTAAAAAATATCGGGAAGACCGGGACTTTTTTTTTTTTTTTAACGCTTTGGGACGCAGGACAAATTGTTAAAAATCGGGACTGTCCCGCCAAATGCGGGACGTCTGGTCACTTTACTCAAAAGGCACCTCTCACCAGTGTCAGTGTTGGGAGCCCGGCCCTAGTGCCAGTGACTCTGTCCTGCGGGCGTGGCCCCGCTCAGGGACCCTGACCGAGCGTCCGCTCTGGACGTGCGGCTCCAGGAGTGCCCACATGGCTCGCAAGACAAAACCAGGAGGTGGCACTGTCAGTCCCCTAGGCCCCCCGCCTGAAACACAGACAGGCCTCCTTAGGACCTAGGTGGCTGTGCCCACACGCCAGCCCCCGGGGCCCAGGGTTGAGGCAGAGGTCATGAAGGAGCGGAAACACGCAGGCTGACAGGCAAGAGGAGAGGGCGGCCGACCTGCACAGACACGGAGCACTCGGCCCGGGGCCTCGCCGCAGCTCTGCGACCCGGCATAGCTCCCAGGTAGGAAGCGGCCTCGATGTGTGCCTCCTGCTGGCCAGGCAGTCCCCACTATCAGATCATGGCTCTCCTGTCTCTGCGGGGACAGGAGGCTCAGCCAGCCTGGCCCTCAGAGGACCGTCAGCGTCTCACTCCACTGCCTCCAGGTCCTCTCCCAGCTCCATGACCACTCTGCCCTTCTCATGCCTCCGGCTCCTCACACAAACAGCAGGGCTGGGCTGCCGGGCGGCGGGAGGAAGGCTCTGGGCCGCCTTCCCAAGTGACCTTAGCAGCGGCCACAACCCCTCTCAGGGTCTCAGGCTTATTTGTCCGTTTTCCAAAGCGAACTCCTATGCATCCCTCAAGACCCAGCCCCAGATAACGCTGCTTAAGGAAGACAACCTGGCATGGTGACAAAGCTGGGCAACGCAAGGGACCAAGGAGACGTCCCTGCGGGCAGAGGCTCTGCCCAGGGCTGAGGGCTGGGTCATCTGCTGGCATTATTTTACCCCCAAACAGGGGAGACACGGCACTAAGGAGGGAAGGGAAAGGGGTCTGCCTTACAGGGCAGACGGGACAGGCGCCTGGGCCAGACATCTATGAGGAGACAATCAGGGCTGGAGGACAGCCTTCTCTCCGCAGCGGGCTGGACACTTTCTCCTGTCACCATGACAGCTAGCTACACTGTCCAGTGTGGCAGTTTCTGGCCACACGCGGCTGTTTACAAAGCGAAACGGACACTTGAGTTCCGCCGTTGCGCCAGCTGCTTTTCAAGTGCTCGGCAGCCACCCGGCCCTCACGTCGGTCTTGAACCTCTTCTCTCAGAGACTGGGCACCTTCAGGGGAGAGGGGCTTCTGCCTGTGGGAGTTGCTGGAGGCAGAGGGAAGGAATTAGCTGGGAGGGAGCCGCTGAGAGTCTGGGAAAGCCGTTGGAGCCCGGGAACATGAGATGGAACAAAGCAGTGTAGCTGCTGAACAAAGCAAGTGTAGCTGTGGTCCTTTCTCAGGACCACACGCTGGGATGTGGCAGGTCGGAGACTCAGGTGAGGCACAGGTTCGAGTCTCCGGCCTACCACATCCCAGCAGTGTGGTCCTGAGAAAGCTACTTAACCCCTCTGTGTTCAGTCTTCTCCCCTGGGGGGAGGTAAACTGCACAGGCTCAGGGCTCAGGGCCCTTCCTAGCACGTCCTTCTGAGGTCCATCGCCGGTCCGGGAACAAAAGGACTTACCGGAATTGGGCTCCATGGAAAGATTGAGCAGGTCCTTGGAGCTGCACACCGGCCCCAGCATCCCGTTGTAGCTGCAGGTGCGGGCGAAGAGCAGGAGGCGGCAGGAGTGGCTCTCCTCGGTGTCGTTGTTGATATGGGCAAGGACGTCGAAGTCGTTGCCTACTGTCATGCTTCGGACCACGCGGATCCGCATGGTCACCCCCGGCTTCTCTCTGGCGCCCAGCTTGTTCAGGTTGTTGGCCTTTTTGAAGGCCTCCCTCTCCTCCCGGGACCCTGTGGGGGGACAGGCAATAGGACCCCATGGCTGAAACCTAATTCAGTAAGAAGGAGGCTGGGGCAGAGCAAGCTGGCCTCTGAGTCCCGGTGACTCAGAGCAGCCCCGAAGGAGTGTCATCTCCACATTTCTGTGCCAGGAGCAGGAAAGAATATTTTCTTCATTTTCCAAAGTGAACTCCTATGCATCCCTCAAGACCCTGCCCCAAATGCCCCTTTTCAACAGGATGAATCAATCAGTGTGTTCTGGAGCTTCACAGCTGCCTATTGGCAATTATGTTTTTTTTTTGTTTTTTTTTTTGGTTTTGTTTTGTTTTGTTTTTAGCTCACCAAACTGTTTTTTGTCTACATGGTTGCCCTTTGAGCTGCTTGAGGACTAAGATTATATTTGCTTACCTTTATGTCATATAAATAGTGCTTGGCGCATAGTAACCACCAATACAAGTTGAACTTTCTCGCCTGCAAGTGTTTACACAGAATTGATTCCCTCCCTGCCCCAGGCCCCCCATGGAGCTGTCCAACAGGAAAGGCTGCTGTATCCTCCCGTTACCTCTCTCCAGCGCTTCTTTCATCCCCCTCACGTGTTGTTGGGTACATCTCTACTCCTCCTCTCAAACCATCCTCTCTGAACCTTTCAGAGGCCCGGGGCCATCTCTTCCTTCTGTTATCCTTTCCGCCTAGAGCAGGGCCACAGAACCACCACCCCCGGGCAGCCCTGGGAAGTCAGTGAGGGCCAGATGTGGGCCCGGGTCTGGTCTCCTCGTCACCCCTGTGAGCCCCGCTGTGCTGGGCAGATGCTTAGAGACATCAATCCTATTGGGTTGTCAGATGCGCTCGAATCCTTGCCCTTCCCCCCACCTCTTACTGATTTAACATTAGCAACAGAAAGAAGTCTTTTTGTGTGTGTGTGTGTGCCTGATTGAATCCATCTTATCTTTAAATCTCTCTTTGTCCATTTCTCTTTCATCTAACCCCTTCCCATCCACCGCCCCGCGCCCTTCCCCGGCTGTGTGAGAACTGTGCAAAAATAAACACGGCCGAGTTCCAGAACCTCTCCTCCAGGGCCCCCTGACTTCCCAAGCCTCTCTACTACGAGGGCATTGCAACAAAACGTGTGGAGTTGCCCGTCTACCGCTGCAGGTCCCACCGCTGGTGAGCGCTGTGAACACACAACACGGGCATCAGTCACGTTTGTTACGATGCATGCCTCTCCCATCTAGCAGGCACCCCCTTCAGCTTTATTGAGTCAAGCCAGCCCCCCCAAAAGTGAGGCTTAAAGACCAAATGGAATCCTTCTGTGGAGCATAGAGTTATTTCCCTAAACAAATTATCCTCTACCACCGTCTTCCAGTGTGTTTGGTAAGTGTAACCTGTCCCGAAGGAATTTTTTTTGGAACGGAGAGTAACCTACAGGCCATTGTATGCAGACTGCCAAATCACACACACGCGCACACACACACACACACACACACACACACACACACACCCGCCGGACTGATAAAACCGGCGGCTTATCTGCAGGGCCGTGTGAAGGCGGCGGGCACCCACCCTCCGGGTACTTGTAGATGTGGGTGATGTCCTCCCGCTGGTCCCGGCCCACACTCTTGGTGCTGATCATCTGCCCCACGACCGTGGAGTTGTTGAAGGACTTGTGCAAGGACCCGTCCGCCTTGCGGATCCACTCCACCAAGTCGGCATTGACCTCGGCGAAGACGAAGGGGGCGTCGTACTTGGGGGTCAGGTCGCCTTCCTTGATGGCGCGAACCGGCACGGGGCCACAGCAGTAGGTGCCTGGTTGTGGGGGAGAGAGGAGGCAGAGATGCACCTGGATGAGGGTAGGATGGCACCTCCGAGCCCTGCCACGAGTCAAGCACACGTGGCAAACCATCTCGAGGCCGTAAAGCCCTTGGACTCAGGGCCTCCACTGCTAGGAAAGCATCATAGGTAAGAATTAAGGATAGATGCCAAAATGGTTTGGCTCAGTCGATGTAGAGCGTCGACCTGCAGACTGAGAGGTCCCAGGTTCGATTCCGGTCAAGGACATGTACCTTGGTTGCGGGCACATCCCCAGTGGAGGGTGTACAGGAGGCAGCTGATGATTCTCTCTCATCGATGTTTCTAACTCTCTATCCCTCTCTCTTCCTCTCTGTAAAAACAAATTAATAAAAAAAATATATATATATATTAAAAAAAAAAAAAGAATTAAGCATAGAGACTTGGGAGCCCAGCTTTTAGGGTGCAAATCGTAGCTCTTAGTAGCTGTGTGATGTTGCAGTAGTTACTGAACTTCTCTGAGCCTTGGTTTCCGGTCGGGGATGCTATGTATGCCTTCCTCGTGAGGATTGGCATATACTAGGTGCCGTGTAAGTGATAAATGAAACAGAAGGATACCCCAAAGCACCCCGAGGAACAGAGGAAGCCAAGCAGCTGGCAGCACTAGAGAAGGCGGGGCCTCTGTCCGGTTTAACTCCCTGCCAGCGTGTGCCTCGGTGCAGTTTACAGCTGCCTCAGCCGGTCACACATGCGGAAGGTGAGGACTGGAGGCTGGATGACAGTCTATGGTGCGTCCATTTGATGGAACACGGCAACATGAAATTCAAATCACAGAACGCTGCCTGGCGGAGAGATGCTAGAGGCATACGGGAGAGTGACAAGCTAGCCTACAAGGCCACGTACAGCCAGAGCTCTTCACCTGGAGTCCGCCCACCCCCATGGTGCAACGAATAGAATTCGGGGTCCGTGAACTTGGATGGGGGGTGGGGGGGGGGAGGTGAGGTCTTTCTCCTCACCGCACTGTGACAGCACTTCCTTCGACCGCGAGAACAGGCAAACCGTAATCTTAGGTGCGCTTACGACTCATCACCCGTAAAACCACAGATACTCTCCTATCGCTTCATGGTTGTCACAGGTATTTGGAGATAATGTTTATCTCTGCTCCCGAGTTACCTACTCTATTAGTCCTACCACTAGATCTTGTTATATGAAATCTATATGATTATATTACAATTTTTTTAAAAACATTTTTTGGTAACTCTATTTCAATGTAATTGGTTTACTTTGTAAACCTTAGGTATTACGTTCTATAAATTGGCTTCGCGAATCTTGCCATGGTTCTCTCTTCGCCTGCACACACGTATGTAAAGAAGCATCTAACTGGAGGTGACTGTGAGAATGTTAAGGATGCTTTGTGAGGAGGGAGAGGACAAGGTGCTATCTGATACTTTCTTTACGCTTCTCCTCACTGTTTTCCACAGCGGGCAGGAAGGACGTTTCAAAGGACAAAGAAGCATATGGCATTAGTGAGGTCCCCACGCCAGATGGGCCAATCAGTGACCTTTGGGTCAGCCAGACGTGGAATGGAATGCCAGCCCTGTGCTCTCCCGCGGAAGGACTCTGCGAGAGTGCTCTCGGAGCCTCAGTTTCCTCCTCTGGCCTTGGGGACATGCCACCCACCTTCACTCTTCTCCTGGGGCGTGGGGTCGAGGGCCTGCCACCCCTCGTAGCCAGGCTGCAGGTCCGGCCTGGTCATCCAGGACTCCACCCAGCAGTGGAAGTTCCTGTCGGGGAACGAAGCGGAACGTTGGCCAGGACTCACACTCAGGCTCTCCTCCCCTCCCCACTCGCCTGGTCCTCGCTGAGCCCAGAGTGGCCCCCTGACGCTCCCCTTTGCTCTTCTCTCTGCGGACCCTGGCCAGGTGCTCGCTCCTGCACTGAGTGTCATCTTCAGCGCCTCTCCCACCGCCCTCCCCTTGCAGGGGCTCCTGATGTTCAGCTGAGGTTTCATCCTCATTTCTCGGCTCCGTGCCTTCTTTTCCAGCCTCTGGAAACAGGCTGTGCCTTGGTTCCGGCCTCATCCCCAGCCACCCGGACACACCCCTCCTCCAGTCTCTCCCTTCCAGACCTGCTCCTAGGTTACCAGCCTGTCCTGCTCCCAGCTGGAAGCCCAGGCTCCCTATCCTGGCCTCCAGAATCCCAACAACCACACTCCCTGAGGCCATCCATGCATTGCATGGACTTTTCTCCTCTTGGCCTTTGCTCATGCTGTCCTTCCTGCCTGGACAGCCCTCCCCTTGCCCCGTTTCCCCTTGTGCAAACTCTATTTGGATTTGAAACACAATTCAAATGTGGCCTCCTCTGAGAAGCCTTCCCAGATGTCTTCTCCTGGAGCCCACAGGGCCCTCCCCCCACCCTGGGCCCCAGCTCACCAGATCATCTCGCTCTTGTTCCCCTCCATCTCCCCAGACTCGTTGCGGAAGTACTCGATGAGCAGGTTGCTGTTCGAGTCGTGGGCCGAGTTGTAGTTGGTCACGACTCGGGTGGGGATGCCCAGGCATCGCAGCACTGGACGGGCACACGACAGAGAGAGGGGTTCGGGGCCGGGCTGAGGATCTGAAGACATGCCCATCTGTACCCAGTGAAAACTGCACCCACTGAGCAAGTGGTGAGGGTGTGTCATCCCTTACCCAGACAATGGCGCCCACCTTGCTCGTCGCCCCATGTCCACTCTGCACCCCCAGCTAACAGAAGAAACATCTGAAATGCAAATCTGACACCAGCATGCCTCTGCTCAACCTGCAATGGCTCCCTGAGGCCCTTGAGGTCAAGGCCAGACCTCTGGCTATGGCCTCCTGGCCTTGCAGGGTCTGGCCCCCGACTGCCTCCTGCACACTTTGCTCCAGCCACATTGGCCTCCTCACTGCTCCTCCAGCATCCACACTCCCACCAGCCACAGGGCCTTGGCATGTGCTGTTCTGTCCTCCAGGAAAGCTGGGTTTAAATTGCCCCATTGTTTGCATTCATACAAGGACTAGGGATTCATCATCTTTCTCCATGGGCGGGCACGTGAGGGGGTCTTTGATTAATTCTCTGAGGCAGAAGAGGAGAACTTATTTCGTATCCCCAGAGCCCAGCATAGGCCTGGCACAGACTATCTTGTCCAATGCGCTGAAGGTGTAGGTGAGGTAGAGAGAGGAGGAGTGAGGGAGGCGGGGAGGAATGAAGGAAAGATAAAGATTCAGAGTGGGGGGCAAGCAGTGAAACCAGCAGAAGAGGAAATACAGGCCAGGAGACCTTCTATCCAAGCCCTCGCTTGCTTCCTGCTGTGTGACCTGGGGCCAGTCCCTCCACCTCTCTGGGCCTGTCTCCTCGTCTATAAAATAAGGTCAGGGTGCAGGTGCAGTGTCTGTCAGATGTGCTGGGACACGGTCATGGACGAGGAGAGTCCTGCATTTACTCCAAAGCACACGGAGAGGAGGGAACCCAGGCATGTGAATCTTGCCCGAATGGCGGTGCGGGCTGCTCCTGACAGAGAGAATTATGGGCCTTTTCTTTCAGGTGCTTTTTAATGTAGAGTGTAAAAGTAACACACTCTCAGGGTAGGATAAAGATGTAAATAGCTAAAAAAAAGAAAAAATAAAAAATAAAAAATAAAAGAAGAAATGAAGCAAAAAAGCCCTACCAACATGACCTGCAGGACTTTGGTTTCGCTTTTAGTTTTGACTGAGGTTGAGTTGCTAAATCGGGAGAGGGGCAGGAGGTGAACCTTGCCTGCCATCCACTAGGGCCCAGGGTTCTGGCCAGACATGTGGATATTGGGAGGCGGGCAAGGAGCAGCTGTGAATCCCCGCCTCTTGCCTGGTCCCTGTGCCCTGAGGCCTGGGCAGAGGCCAGACTGGCTGCTGCCTCAGCGAAGGCTGGTGGCCCAAACCTGGGCCTTGCTCCTCCATGCCACCAGGATCCTGTCCCTGCTGCCCCAGGAGCAAGACACCCTGCCTGTCCCCAGGGGTGGGGTCTGGGAAGCCTCCATCACAGTCTGAGGCCGGGAGGCTTCCTCCAAGCCAAGCACGCGTGGTTCCAAGCCCAGCTGTGCCACTCACCCATCCGCTGTGTGACCTCGGACAAGACACTTCCCCTCTCTGAGCCTTCGTTTCCTCCTCGGAGGGGAGCTAATAATAGCTGCTGGTCTGGATGTAGTGATGACTCAGAGAGGGATGGGTGTGGGCAGTCCCATCTGCCAGTGCCCAGGGTGGACCAGCGGAGAGTGTCACCGTGCCCATCACTGCCAATGTCTGTCCGTTCAGAAATTGCTCCGTGACCCAGATGAGGAGTCACAGCTCCCCCCTGACAACCCCCAAGGCAAACCTGACCTGAACCGGAGACGGGGCTAAGGATCCTGCAAGCTTCCTGTGAATTGGGTTGGTCACCACTGTCTTCATTCGACAGGTGAGGAAACAGAGGCTCGGAGGCACTAATTCTCTTGCCCAAGTCCACCCAGCGGCTGGAGGTGGAGCTGGGGTCAAACGAAGCAGTAAGACTCCAGCGCCCACGGACCAACCCTCCGTGTGGCTTCCTGAAGAAATGCGGGGACTGAGGGAGCCAGGCAGCTCCTGGTGAGCCTGAGTTTTCCCGGTTCCATTCCCCGCTGTGCCTGGGAGGAGGCTGCAAGGACCCTGCCTCAGCCCTGGCCGTGGGGAGAGGACAGTCCAGGGCAAGATCTGCAGCTAAACCTGCAGGTGGCCACTGGGTCACAGCCCGGGGGAAGAAGGCATCCACAGGGGAGTGTGGGAAGTTGAAGGAAAGGGCAGGAGAGGGAGGGTACACAAGAAAGAGGAAGTCAGAGGTCAGGGGAGTGGGGGGCAGACGGTGGTGGAGGAGTGCGGATGGGGAAGGAAAAGCAGAGGCAGCCTCGCTGGGAACCAGGGTCAGGCTGTCCCCGGCCAGCCTGCTAGAGTGGAGGAGAGTGCGGGGGCTGCTGGGACCCCTTTCTGGGCCTGCGTACTGGTCTTAGAGTCAGAGAAGCTAGGAACCCAAGATCAGCCTCTTAGATTTCCCGATGATGATGATGATAATAGTGGCAGTAATGGCAGCAGCACTATGTACATATTTGCTGGTATGCATAGGAAATAGTTTGAACCTTGCACATATGCTGACTCACTTAATCTTTACAACATCTCAGAATAAAGGCACTTTTATTACACCCATTTGAGCTAGTGATTTGCTCTTAAGGACACACATAGTAAGAAGCCCAGCTGGGGCTTGAATTCCACCCTTGACTCCATGTTCCCAACTGGTGGATGCTAACCCATTCTCAAAGCACCATCCTTCAACCTTTCTCTGGGCTCAACTTTTCAAGAATTTTTTTAGCGATCCCCGTCCCCCTCCCCGCTCCCCCCCCCAGCCTTTTTGTTTTGTTTTGTTTTGTTTTTAAATTGCTTTCTCTTTCCCTCCTCTGCATTTTAGAAAGTGCTCTCTTTCTCAACATGGATAACATTATCAACTTATTCATGGTCAGACCTAGGGAGACCTACACTGGGCCAAGTTCCATGCCGGTCCGTTTCATGTCAGAGCCACCCTGGGAGGTAGATCCTGTTGTTGTCCCCATTTTACAGGTAAGCAAACTGAGGATCAGAAAGAAGTCATTTGCTCGAGGTCACAGAGCAAGTGAATGGAAAAGTGGGAGTTTTTAACTCAGATGTGTCTGGTTCCAAAGTCTATGTTCTCAACTGTGAGCCCATGCTGCGCCCCCTGCCCCTGAAGACCATACCTCATTGTGGGGGGAAAGGAACAGAGAGGGGCAGCCACTGGTCCCAGGCCACACAGCACACCGATGGTATTGGTGGTAGAAATAGGACGAGACCTTGGGCCTATTGATTCCCACTCCAGGGCTCTCTGCACCCCGCTTCCTGGGCTCATGGAGCCGAGGAAAGGTTCCGGGCCCTCCACCGCCCTGGGCAGCTCACCTGTGCAGGCCACCGCAGCGAAGACCCAGCACTGGCCGTACTTGATCTTCTGGAAGCCGGAGTTCTTCCAGCGCCGCAGGATGTCCACACTGCCGATCCAGAACATGGGGCTTATGCCGTCCGCGTAGCTGCCGTCCCAGCGTCCCAGCAGCACCCCCTGGTCGTCATTGCAGTTCACCTGTGACCAGCAGAGCATCGGGGGGATCAGTCTGGGGAGAGGGCAGTGGCTGTGCCAGGCAGAGCACAAGCCCAGTGCATAGCAAAAGGCGGGGAAGGGAGTCCCAGGGTGAGGGACTCCAGGTGCGAAGGTGTGACCGGCTGTGTGGTACATCAGAGAACGTTGGGGCTGGCAGCCAGGATGCGGGGGGGCGGGGGGAGGGGGGAAGAGAAAGGGAAGATAGGAGGTGAAGAGGGGTCAAGGCCACGGAGTCGAGGCTGGAGGTGTGAATGTGCCCTCAGGGTGGCAGGAGGATGGCACGGGGTGATCTGAGTACAAAGACCAGGTCTGGCTTCTGCCCAGATTGTGTCCCTCCCCCAACTCCCTTCCCTCGAGGATAAATCCAGGCATCTGCGTGGTCTGGTCCCTGCCGACCTCTGCAGCTCCGCCTGCCCCCTTGCTCACTCTGCTCCAACACACTGGCCTCCCTTCGGCTAGTCAGGGCCTTGGCCCAAGCAGAACCCTCTGTCTGGAAGGCTCTTCTCCTCCCAGCGAGTGTATCAGCTCAGGGATCATCACTCACGCCCCCCCTCCCTCTCTGAGGTTAGGCCCTGCGGTCAGACACTCTCTCACATCTGGGTTCCTTCAGCGCCTGCATCATTATTTATGACGACGCAACTCATTCACTTGACATCTTGGTGAGTGTCTGCCTCCGCCCACTCTCCCACTGGAACATAAACTCTCTGAGGTCCGGGACCACACATGGCCTACACCCAGCTCTTTCCCAGGGCCGGGGACATAGTGGCCCTGGATAAATATTTGCTGAACGAATGAATTGCTGAGAGGGATCACAAGACACGATCCTCATGTGGGTACATTTTGTGTCTCTCTCTTTTAATTGATTTTTTTCAGAGAGGAAGGGAGAGGGATAGAGAGCTAGAAACGTCGATGAGAGAGAAACATCGACCAGCTGCCTCTTGCACACCCCCTACCGGGGATGTGCCCGCAACCAAGGTACATGCTCTTGACCGGAATCAAACCCGGGACCTTTCAGTCCACAGACCGACGCTCTACCACTGAGCCAAACTGGTTTTGGCTACATTTTATCTTTAAATACGAGCTCTCTTAGCTGAGACTCCCCACCCCCTGGAGGCCCCCACGGTGCTCGGTCAGGGACCCCCAGGGTGGGCTGTGCAGCTGCTCACCATGGCGCTCACCACCCGGCACACGTAGACGGGGCTGCTGCGGCGGGAGCAGTCGCGGCCTCCGTTCTTCAGGAACTTGGGGTTCATGTCCAGGATCTTCAGGCAGGTGTCCAGGATCTCGGCTTCAAACTGTGTCAGAGGAAACCAGAGGAGGGGGGAGGGGATGAGGGGTCACCTCCTCCAGGAAGTCTGCCTTGAAGCCCAGGAGCTGTAGGACCTCTCAGCCTGCCTTACACAGACTGAGATGCCAGCCACTCCAGGCCGAGGAGGGGCTGGGGTGGGACAAAGACTGAGTGTACGAGAAAGGGGAAGGGGGTGTGCCTGCATCCAGAGTCTGGTGACGGGGTGGAGGGGGGCTTTGGGGAGTTGGAGCAGAGACCACTGAGTGGGGAGCCCAGTGTCCCTGGGGCTTCTCTACCCTCGGAGCCACCTCAGGCCCTGCCAGTGTCCCTTTGCCCTCTCTGCTCAGCCCAATCGCCTACTTCCCCCAAAACCTGACTCACCCTGCAGAGCGGATGAGGATCCCCTCCTCCTTCACCCCACCCACCCACACTGCTCTGATCGAAACTGATGTAGATTAGAAAGGTATAAATCTACTGGCAATCTCATCACCCCTCTGTTTCTACCATACTCACTAAAGACTAGATTTCCCCCTGGAGCCTTCGAGGCCCTGCATGATCTGCAGCTGGGGTAGCCTCTTTGATCTCCTCTCTTACCACGGGTCTTTGGACTGGCTATTTCCTTCGCTTGGGATGCTCTTCCTGCCACTCTCTGTAAGGCTCACACCTTCTCATCCTTGCAACTCAAACTTATCTTTATCAAAAGCAGGACTCCCTCCTGGTCACCCCATTGGATCACAGCTCTGTCATGTTCGAAGGCTCTTCTGTCTGCCTCCTACTCCCCATCTCGACGGTCTTGTCCCAAACCAGGCCTCATCACAGGTCTCCCTCCGTGGCTTGAATCCTTTCCGTGGCTCCCTGTTGCCACCAGCCTGACATTAAGGCCAGTTTCCAGCCTGAACACTGCTGACTTCTCCCACTTCACCCTCTGGGGGCTCCTTCAAAAGTACAGCACTCCCCAGGCTACAGGATACTTCTAAGGCATACATTTTCCCATCTCCAAGCTCTCTCTCTTTTTTTTTTTTTTTTAATATATTTTTATTTATTTTACACAGAGAGGAATTGAGAGGGTCAGAGAGTTAGAAACATTGATGAGAGAGAAACATCGACCAGCTGCCTCTTGTACCCCCCCCCCCCCCCACTGGGGACGTGCCTGCAACCAAGATACATGCCCTTGATCGGAATCAAACCTGGGACCTTTCAGTCTGCAGTCCGACGCTCTATCCACTTAGCAAAACCGGTTTTGGCCCATCTCCAAGCTCTTGCTCACGCAGTGCCCTTGGCCTAGTAGACATGCACCCACCTCCTTCAAAGCCCAGGTCACATGGTGCCTATTCCAGGAACTGCCCTGTCCCCTGTGGGCAATTAGTCCCTTCCTTTACATCAGGAGGTTGACGGGTCAAGGGTGAGAGAGTTCTTGCTTTATGCATTTTCTCAGTAATGTCTCAAGAGTTTTTTATGGGAGGCTGAATGGTAGAGGAAAACAGCAATGGTTTGGAGAACCAGCCCAGGCTGTCCTGGGAGAATCAGAAACCACATGGAGTAGAGATGAATCATCCAACTGAGGTCGGACCAGTTAGGCCTAGACAGCCATGGCCTCTCAGGTTTAGGCTTGTTTGTTATTCGGCGGTAGCTAGCTGATATATCCAGACCAGCGGTTCCCAAAGTGACTGACATTAGATCAGAAGCATCAGCCTCCCCTGAGAACTTGTTCAACCTGGAGAATCCCTGCCCACACCCACATCTACTGAATCAGAAACTAGGGATGGGCCCAGGGATGTGTATTTGACACACTTTCCCAGTGATTCCGATGTATATGTAAGCCTGAGGCCCACGGATGGAGATAAAGGTTTAACGCCCGCTCTCAGCACATGCTGAGCGTACAGTATGGACTCACCAAGTGCTGCCTGTTATTTTGGCCTTGAATGTTCCCCTTCTCCCTCCTGGAATGACTGCCTGCCCACAACTCTAAAGGCTCCCCTCATTCTTTCCCACCTTGACTATCTGGGGCTGCTGCTCCCACGGCAGGTAGGGAAACCCTTTGCTGTGTGACCTCAGGCCTGGCCTGAACTGTCTCTGAGCCTCCATTTTGGGGACCTTGAATGCGGATGACATGGAGTGGGTGGCTCTGAGACCCGATCCCACTTTTGCAGCTTGCCTGTGTCTCAGACCTGGGGCCCAACGCACAGGGGGTCTGAGGTGGTGGGGAGAGGCAGGGGGAGACCATACCTGCCCAAAGTTCCAAGGGATTCCATGGTAGTACTTGGCCGAACCCTGGAAGATGAGGCCATCCTGGGCGAGGACGTACTCCTGCCGCTCCTCCTTTGAGTCCAGGAACACAGCGTCCGCTGTGGGCGGGAAGGAAGGGGCCTCAGCCTTGGGTGTGGTGAGGCCCAGCGTTCCCGCAGACTTGGCATCCGGGATGCCAACTCCCCGGGGACAGGTCGGCGTCTCAGAAGCCTCTCTATCATCTAATCTGAAAAACTAACCATTAGCACATAACCCCGTGTCAATGGCAGAGATTGTGTTATCAGTGAGTGACAGCCACTGCGGTCTGCCTTTCATCCAACATCCCTCGCGTGCCTGGGTGTGTGATAAGCAGGTGGTGTACAATAGTTTGCTTATTCTCCCAAGGGCCCTATGTAGACGGGATCCAGGAAAGCCCCCTTTTGCAGGTGGAAAAACTGAGCCTCAAGAATATTTAAGAATGGGAAAACTGATGCTAAAACAAAAGGCAGAGGAGCCTGGGCAGGAGTTGCGGCCCTCGGCTCTGCTCCTCACTTGCTGTGTGGCCCTGAGCGGGCCACGTCTCCTTCTCTGCCCACCTCTCTGTCTTCCCCGGGAGCACAATGGGTGGCAGGTCTGAAAGGTGCTCCGTGAGCTGACGCCCGAGCCAGCGTGAGGAAGGAGCACTGTCCAGCGTGGATAGAAAGCCAAGGAAGTGTGACTGTGGCTCTGGTGGGGGAAGAGGGGTCTCGTCCAGCTTGGGGGTCAGGCACAGCCACCTGGAGCGGGTGGCATCTGCTGCCTTGACGACATGCTAAGGCAGGAACCAGAGACAGCCAAGCTGCAGCTGCTGAGAAACGCAGGGCACTTAGTTCCCTGTGACCAGTAAGGACAGACAAGGGGGCGGAGGTAGCCGGGGCCAGAGGGCAGGAGGTCAAATGTCAGGCTGGCCTTCACCATCTCCACGTCACAGGTGAAGAAGCGGAAGGAAGGGGAACTCCAGAGCCACGCTATGCCTTTGGTGGGCCCTGGGCATTTTTGCTTCCATTAAAAAACAAAAGTATATATTAAAAATATATTTCATGACTGATTGCTTTAACGATGGACATGGTAATATTATATAGTAAGACATAGTCTCCGGCCTAAACACTCATGGTTTTCTTCTGACTTTAAAACAAGTCCCATGTTTCTGTGGGCCCCTGAAGGAATGGTGGCCCAGGCCCTGTGCCTTCCGAAGTCTGCCTGAGAAAGCGCAGCTGGCGCTCCTGGCAAAGCTGGGCTAGAACGCAGCGGCCAAACCCCTCCCCCCCCCGGCCCCTCTGCAGGGACCAGCCCCCCGCTCGTCCTGCATGGCTGAGCGTCTTATGCATCCTGCTCTTGGGCTCCGGAAATTGTGCAATACACATTAGCCTTACGATAAGTGAACCACATGGCCATAAATCAGTGGGCAGTGTGGGAAAGAGGATGAAAGAGAAAGAAATGCACCCGGGTGCTTGGTGCTTTCCATCGGCGTGAGCGTGTCGGCTCGCCGGGTGTCCCCCCGTCGGGTTCCCAGCTCAGGTAAGGGTGGGCACTGGGGACAGAAGCCTCACTGTGACGGGCACTTGGTCCTGTCCATCCGGAGCGCAGGGACAGGGGGTCCCCTTTCACGGGAGAACGGTGTCCTCGCCCTCGTCCAGCCCACCCCCCACAGAGCCCAGCTTCCTGCTTCCCAGTCACCCGCCCCACTGCTTCCTCCACGCTCCCACCCTGGGATGTGGGTCACGTTAGTCACTATGCTGCTTGGCTGACCGCCATGCCAGGGGCAGGAAGGGGACAGCTCCAGAGGAAGGAGGACATCCCCCTGCTCGCTGGATTCTGCAATCGCACAGTGCGGGGCAGGAGGAGGACACTGCATGCTCCTGCTCCACGGGCTGGGCTGCCAACGGGCTGCACGCTCTGCGGGTTGTCAGACAGCAAAACAAGCATGCGTGTGCCCGCTTCGGCAGCACGTATACTAAAGCAAGGCCGAGTCTGTCCTGAGAAACCGTGCCATGTGGCCACAAGAGCAAGGGTGCCTGTTGCCCCACCCTCCCCATGAAGAAACCCGGACACAGGGGGCCAGATGAATGAAAGAGCCACACGGACAGGATACGGTCACTCAGGTGCTCAAAAATGAATGAGTGGATGGCCCAGCTGGTGTGGCTCAGTGGTTGAGCATCAACCTATGAACCAGAAGGTCACGGTTCGGTTCCCAGGCAGGGCACCTGCCCGGGTTGCGGGCTCAATCCCCAGGAAGAGCCGTGCAGGAGGCAGACGATTGATGATTGTCTCTCATCATTGATTTTCCTCTCTCTCTTCCCTTCTCCCTTCCTCTCTCTGAAATCAATAAAAACACATAAAAAAAAAAATGAGTCTATGTGTGCAGATGAATGTGGAAAGATCTTCAAGACATGTTGTAGAAGAAAAACAACCCAGTAGGTTGATGTATAATATTTGTGGGATCCTTTTACGTTTAAGGAGACAGAGGAGCTCAGTGCAGTGGTAGCTCCGGGCACATGTGCCCAAATCTCAGGAGTTGAGCCCCCCAAGGTGGCTATGACGGCGTTCCCCAAGGAGGGGTGACAAGGGCTGCTCTGAGGCCACCCCGATGCTCCAGGAGCCCAGCTCTCCAGGCCTCATCCTGCCTCTCTCTGCTGGAGTCTGACTGTGTCCGAAGCCCCTGCATCCCACCCTACCCACTTCAGGACTGAAGAGAGTCCACTCTGGTCAAGGGTCTCAGGGCAGGAGCAGGGCAGGTACCTGGATCACTAGACCAGCCCCCGGGCCCAGTTCAGCCTTGATTATGTCAAAGGCGACCACAGACGCCCACAGGGGGGGCAGAGATTTGCCCTCCTTCCCTGGCACTGGCCTTAAAAGCCCCCAAATCATCCTTAACTTTGCGAATCACCAACCAGGGAGCCTCTGCAGTGCTAGAGGTTTTAGAAAGAGGACAGTTTCCTGTCTTACTGTCATAATGAGAAATAAAAGTCAAAGCATGTAAAAGAGAAAATGAAATATCTTTCTTCTCAAATATGTTATCAAATGCCCCCAAATGGAGAAGGAAAAAAAAAAAAAAAAAAAGCAATGGCCTGTGAGAAGCTGGTTTTCTGACACCAGAATTTCTGCCTGGGCAGAGGCTTTGAGGGGAGACACCCGTTCCTCGGCTGAGGCCCACCCGCAGGGCTCCCTCTTGGCCTCGCTGGGGAGGAGCAGGAAGGAAACCCAGCTGACTGCCTTGCTAGGAGGTGTGGTGGCCCCTGCCTCCTCCCATCGGCTCAAGTCAGCCTCGGTCCTCCTGAGCCTCCCTCTGACTCCCCAGAGTGGTCCAGCCCGGTCCACTTACTCACTGAAGGAGCTGCCAGAAGCCACTCCACTTCTCTGAGCCTCAGTTTCCTGCCTGGGACACAAGGCAGCTGTCTCTCTCTCCTCCCCTCCCCCCCACGTGCTGGTTGAGAGGAATAAATGAGAACGTGTATGCGGAGACACTTAGATAAAACTGCTCCCACCCCCCTCCTAGCTACCGCACCCGCCACCTCCCTCGGTCTCCCCTCACTTGCCGGTCTGGCGAGGTTTAAAACAGAGCCTCGTGAAACAGTACCAGGTGGGAGCCATGGGCACACACAGGACACCCCATTCCTGAGTGTAGCTTCTGACCCCGGGCCACCCCCACGCCCAGCTCACAGTGCCGTGGGGGCATATGGACAAGACACAGGATGAGATCGCTTGGAGGTTGGGAGACTTTGGCCAGTCCTTGTGCTTCTGTGAGCCTGTCTGCTCCTCTGGACGTGGGAATAAGGGGAGTCCTCACATCGCAGGATTTGGGGGAGCTGAGCCTCACTCCGTCCACCTTGATGTCTCTTCTGCCCCATCTCCCACCCTCAGCAGCCCCCCTGGGCCGGTCTGGCCCTGCCCGCCTCCCACCTGCCCATGGGTGGCGCGTGCCTCACCTGGGCACCAGGGGTTGAAGAGCAGGATGAAGTGGCCCAGATTGAAGCTGGAGGGCTGGGAGCCGGTGGAGGCCTCCATGGTGAGGCTGTACATGCCGATGGGGGCGTTCGCTGGGGCAATGAGCTGCAGCGAGAGCTCACTGCCCTGCTGGTCTATCACCGAGGCCGTCCAGGTATGCTGCTCCACGGCGTCGGACAGCGGGAAGCGGGCGTTGGTCCCGGCCTCCTCGCTGGGGTTTGGGCCTGTGGAAGGAGAAAGCAGGGGCCATGAGCCAGGGCTGGGCAGGGAGGGAAGGAGTCAGGACTGGCAGGAGCCGGGCATGTGCCAGGAGTCCTTGGGCCTGGATTCAAGGCCCAGCTCTGCCACTAACCATTGGAGAACTTTGGCAAGAGACTTCATCTCCCTGAACCCTGGTTTTCCCATCTATAGAATGGGGATCGAACCCCAACCTTGGAGGGTGGTTTTGTAGGAATGCATGACAAGCTGTAGGCGGATTCCTCCTGGGAGATGGGCCAGGGCAGTCTGGGGCAGGGGCTGCCACGCCGCTCTGAGCTTTTTCCCCTCTCCGTTTGCCCGCCTGCAGCAGCGACAGGAACTGGGTGGATGCTCCCAGGGGCCCGCCTTTCCTGCCTAATTCCTTTACCTGCTAACATCCTTCTTCCCTTTCAGGAGAAGAAGCCCAGGCTCCGAATAGGATGGGACGGGGGTCCCTGGTGGCCCCTCCGGCCTTTGGTCCCTGGATCTCCAGGACAGCTCCAAGAGTGCTCACAGCCATCTCTCACCTGCCCATTGCCCTTTGCCCATTGCCCTATGAAATGCCTGGGCACTCCCTGCTTCCCCCAGGAGCCCTTAAGGGGGGAAACTGAGGCTGTCCCAGGGTCAGAAATCAAAACAAGCATGTCTGTGCCCCCTGTATGCTTGCCCCAGTAACCCCAGGCAAGGTCGGCATCTGAGCCCAGGTTTCTGGGCTCTGGCTGTCCCCTAGGCACCTCTCATGCCCAGAGCATGTCCTCTGGGAGGCCTGAGGGGATCCGGAGGCTCAGGGAGGCAGAAAGGCTGCCTCAAATAGCTGCTTTTTCAGGTGGAGGGGAGGGCCCGGCCCAACAGGCAGGTCTGAGTCATAGGGAGGGCAAGGGCGGCCGGCCTCCCTTTCTGGACTCGGGTGGCGGGAAAGAGAAACAGAACCTTCTCTGCTTGACTGGGCAGCTGCCCAGGAAGGTTTATTTTTAACCTCCCACCTCCCTCCCTGCAGCCCAGCCCACTGCCGCTGACAATACGGGGCCTGCTCACCGAGGGGCTCCCTCCCAACGCCCAGCCACCATCCACACCCAGGCCCAAATATAATCATGAACTAACAGGCCTGACCCTGGCCCCGGGGCCCCGTCGGGGTGCCATGAGTCAGCTCTGAGCCTTTAAACGCTCCCAGTCTTCCACAGCAGCACCTGAGGGAGGAGGCCAGCAGTCCTGGGGCCCCAAGAATCTGTCTCTTTCCAGTTCCCCACTCAGGCCCTGAGCGCTGTGTGCCCTGAGCTAAGTCCCAGGCTTCTCTGATCTGCACGTTTCTCCTCCAAGAAGAACATAGGAGACCACATGCCTGGGAGGGTCTGATTCCAGATCTGAAACGGGCTCTGTAACCTTGGACAGCTAGTCAGCTTCTCTGTGACTCCGTTTCTTCCCCTGTGAAGTGGAGCCAATCGCACTGCCTCTCCACACAGTCAGTCTGCAGCTTAAAGAAGTGCCTCGAAAGGTGCCTGGCACATAGTAAGTGCACAATAAAGAAAAGGTATTGTTGCCATCACCTCCTAACACGCTGCAGAGGATATAGTGAACGTTCGCAGAAGGCATTTAAAGCAGGGACTGGGAAGGAGTCATCACAGAAATGTGAGCGATCTTCAGTAGCAGCAACAGGAACCCTGAAAGCCCGGCTGCATGGCTCAGTGGTTGACCGTCGACCTATGAACCAGGGGGTCACAGTTCGATTCCCGATCAGGGCACATGCCCAGGTTGCTGGCTCGATCCCTAGTGTGGGGCGTGCAGGAAGCTCATCAATGATTCTCTCTCATCATTGATGTTTCTATCTCTCTCTCCCTTCCCCCCCCCCCCAAAATCAATAAAAAAAAAAAAATTTTTTTTTTTAAAGGGGAATCATTAAAAATCAGCATTCTCAGGCCATACAACATTTTGAAGACTGGAGTGAAATGAAAACTGAGGCAAGAGTGTGACCCTCTGTTCCAGTTTGCCGGGACGGTCCCGGTCTATGCCTGTAGTCCTCGTGTAATCATTAATGGCGCCCCTTTCACTCTCAGAATGGTCCCTGTTTGGAAGATCAATGACCTGGTCACCACGGTGACCACCTGGGCCAGGTCCCATAGCCACAGTCACTATTGACATAACCAGCCCCAAGGAAAGGTCAGGAAACATGCTTCCCTTTCTCTCTGTCCCAGGACAACGGAGCACCTAGGTGCGCGCGCACACACACACACACACACACACACACACACACACACACACACTTTCTTCCCAGGGGCCCGGAGGGGCATGGAGACAGGCCGTCCCCGGGCCTCACCACGGCTACGTGAGCTGGCTTTGGAAGTTCCTGGGCTGCGGTTCCACACGGCACTCTCGTGGGGCCTACATGACTCTGAGGACTTGAGGGGCCTGGGCCCTGTCCCAGACCAGGGTGGCACAGGAGGCCAGGGTGGTGGCCGAGGGGAACCTTCCGGAGCAAAGCCTTCTATTAGCCTCATAAGAGCTCCTTTCACTCCTTTCAGGCAGGGCTCGCTCTCGCCCCACTCACCCCCACACCCGGGCCCTCCCTGGGAGGGAGCGTAGCTTTAATCCGGTGACAAAGGTGGTGTTTGTCTCCTGTGGTCTGTACCCCATAGCAGGGCCTGTCAGGCCTCTGGTGGTCTGGACGGGACATGCAGCCCTCGGGGGTGTGTGGGGTCAGGCCACACGCTTCATCCCGTGGGGGACGTGGCCAGTGGTCTGGCCTCGCCGGGCTTCCGGTTCCCTAACGAGGCAGGACAGGATGATCCCACGAGAGAATGTTCCAACATTCTGGGGTGCCCAGGCCAGGCCCAGGCTGGGCGCTGACACCAGCCAGGCCTTGGGGTGGGAGGCCTGGCTTCCTTCTATTGTCCTCAGCTTCCCCAGCCCCGGGGAGGGTCTCAGCGGTCACACAGGGGAAGCTGTGTGTGTCCAGAGATACTGTGACCTCTGTCCGTGGCTGCCCGCCGGGACAGGTTGGCTACCGTCTGAGATAATTTTTGTCAAGACTGGAGAACAGAGATTAGTTGTTGGGGTGGGGAGGCTGGTGACCTCCACAACCCTGAACTTGGAACCCTAACTACCCAACACGTAGATAATCGAGGAGAAAGAACTGGGACACCTTGAAAAAGAAAGAAAAAAAAAAAGAAAGGGGGAAATCACAGGCTACCATCCCATTTCACAGAGGAATACACTGAGGCCTGGCAGCACCTGAAGGGGCCTGCTGTGAGGTCACAGCGACAAAAATACTTCAACTCTAGGGTCTGGTTTGAATTTCCTTTTCTCCTGGACACCGTGTGACCCGAGCAAGTATCGTGACCTTTCTGAGCCTCAGTGTTGCCATCTGTAAAATGGGGGCTCCTTCTGGGTCCACGATGGGGGGATTTAGAATGGGCGTACAAACAGTAGGCGCTCCATAGATGTGGTTTTCACCATCCTACGCTTGGCTCTTCCCAGAGCACCACTGTCCTGTGCTCCGACCTGCCATTTTAAGAAGGGGAACTGAGGCCAGAAAGATCCGAGACTCGCCAAAGGCCCCTTGGTTAGAGTGGGTCCCAGAGGTGCTGGGTGTGGGGGTGACTGTGGGTAGTGGGTGTGCCCCTGCCCAAAGCGGAAGGGGAGGGGGGGAAAGGATGAAGGGGATATCCGTGGCCAGTCTGCAGGGGCGGTGATAAGCCTTATCAAACGGCCTCCCAGGTAAATAAACACAGGCCTCAGCCAGGTGGGTGCAGTTAGTTCCTGCTCGCTGCTCGGGCCTGCCCTCTGAGACCTCAGAAAGAGCTGGCCTTTCCCACCCATGGGCCAGCGTCCCAGCCAGGTGGCCCCTCGATGACCTCAAAGGAGTGGTTCCCACTGGAAACCAAAGCTATGGGTTCGGTATTCAAGGCCACTTTCCGGGAACAGGCACTGGGCATCTGGGGATGGAGTGGCTGGGTCTCCATGTCCCTTTACCCACCACTGGAGCAAAATCAACAACAGCCACTGATGTCAACAGGGCACCCCCCCAAGTAAGGCCCTTCTCACTTAACAACCCTTCACTGTGACTGCTTTTTACATGATAACTCAGGCTCAGAGAGGCTAAGCAACTTACCCCGGGTCACACAGCAGGTAGGCAGCCCAGTCTGCGCCAGAGCCCAGGTCTGTCTGTGCAGCCTTAAGCCTGAGGCAACCTCCCTAGGGCTGGAGCCAGCTGGGTTCTTTCCAGCACCCAGACCTCATTTGGGCCCGATTCCAGAGGCCTGGCGGGTTGCGTGGAATTCGGGAAGCAGCTATTGATAAGAGCTGGAAAGCTGTTTTGATGTGTAGATGAGCACCAAAGATCTGAACCCCAACCCTGATGATAACAGGTTTTTAGGAACCAGGCTGTCCAGAAGCACAGACTTGATAACAAAGCTATGTGTCCTTGGGCGACATCTCTCAACTCTCTGCACCTCCGGTCCCTCTTCTGGGAAATGGACTGATGACTGCTGGGAGTTTTCTGGGAGTTTCGCCTGCTCCACTGTCTGCAGGGGGAGGGGGGGGGGGACAGTCAAAGCACATAGCAGGGCAGGTGCGGCTGCAGGGTCCTGACGGTACTTACCGGTGGAGACGATGAAGGTGAGGTGGTCCACCCTGGCCTCGTAGCTCCTGCCCTGGAAACGCAGCGTTAGCCGGAAGGGCTGGCCCCGCCGCACCACCAGCTGCTTCAGGCACAGTTCTGCCGTGTGGTGGTCGCGGCCATTCGCCTCCAGCTCCAGGTACCACTTCTCCAAAGCCAGACCTACGGAGACAATGGGGGGCATGAGCCCGGGGGGCATCCCTCGGCCAGCTACCACCTCTGCCACGCCCCTTCGCTCAGTACAGAGCCTGGTGCACAATAAATGGTTAGTCAACTCCAGCTAGTCTATCATTATTGGTGTTTTGTTTTGTTTTGTTTTATTTTGTTTTATTGTTAAAGCAAGGGCCGTATTTGGGATAAGGTTAATTACACAGTCTTGCCTTTCCGCTTCAGTTTTCAATTTAGGAAATACAGAGGACTGAGGAACATTTTAAACAAAGAAACAGGACACAACAACATTCACACCAAGGGCAACAAAAGGCAAGGCACTTGGTTTCTTTAACAAATAAAAATGGGGGTGAGTGAAAGGGAGGCTATAGATTGTGAGGAATTTAAGAGACATTCTAACCGTCGTGCTGATTAAAACAACAACTACTACTTAGAGCATTCCATGTATGAGCCAACTGGAAAGGTGAATGCTAATGGGATAGTGGTGATGTTAAGGAATTTTTGTTCGTTTGTTTATATCTAAAAAAGAGGCCTTAGCCTTTAGAGACATACACTGAACTATTTACAAATAAAACGATGCTTCCAAATAATGGGGAGGGGGTCCTCTGAGGGTGCAGGAGGCAGGGGCAGTTATAGGCCAGTGGTGGTTGAGACTGATGAGAACATACACATTTATTATGCCATTCTTGCCACTTAAAATTTTTTATTTATTTATTTCAGAGAGAGGAAAGAAGGAAAAAGAGACAGAAACGTCAATGACGAGAGAGAATCATCGATCCATCAGCTGCCTCCTGCATGGCCCCCACTGGGAATTGAGCCTGCAACCTGGGCATGTGCCCTGACCTGGACTCACATTGTGATCTTTTGGTTTATAGGTCAACATTCAACCACTGAGCCACACCAGCAGGGCGCTCTGTACTTTTATGTTTGTTCAAATGTTCTCCACAACACAAGGCTTTTAACATGACGGGGCTTTTGGAGTCTTCTGGATCTAGGCTCCAGTTCTGTTGCGCGGCTGTGTGACCCTGGACCGGTGTCTCTCCCTCTTGGTGCCTCCTTCTCTGGAGCCTCAGAGGGCTGCTAGAGGTCTCGCAGAGGATGTTGGGGATGTTGGGACACCCTTTCCCCAGGGCTTAGCTCAGGGCAGGAGCTTGATATGTGAAAAGTCTATTTCATTTCAGAGGGAGCTGACGTCTAGGGCAGGGGAAGGGGTGCTGGGAATGGGTGGGGGTCTGAGGGAAGCACAAACTTCATACACCTTGGCAAGCTCGAGGTCAAGATTGGGAAGCCCACGGGGGGGGGGGGGAGGGTAGAGGGCAAGGCAGACTCTCAGAGCTGTGGGGCCCTCGGGAAGTATGTGGCCAACTGAGGCCCAAGGGTGGGGATTTGCCCAGTCACCCTGCAAGTTCACTGGGACATCAGTTCAGGCCTCCTGCCTCCTCCCATGGGCTATCCCAAAAGCGAGGTGGGAAGTGCCCAGCGGCGGCAGAGATAGGCATTATGTGGCCCCAGGTCCCTTGGCAAACGGCAGCGTTGGGGTTTGTGGAGCCCGCTCTGGTAGCCAACTCACTCACAGCTCAGGGCTTGTTCTCCGTCTTCCTGCCTCTCCTCCCTTCCCCTCTTCCTCCGTGTCCCGAGTTATTCTCCAGCCAGGGAGGGGACGCTGGGGAGCCATGCCCCTGCAATCACTGCGGGAGAGACCTCCACACGGAGCAGCACTCCTGCTGGCCTGCTCAGCAGGAGAGAGAGCACTGCTTCCCCCTGGGAGACCAGGCGATGGTCAGTCCCTGCTCTGAGGCTGGTGTCTGGAGAAGGATTTCCAAAAGTCATGCCCAGCTTAAAGGCGCAGACACCCTAGGGTCTGAAATCACAGGGTTTTTGCACGGAGGAAGGACCCGAGGCCTTCCAGCCCGAGGGACACCTGTAGGAAGTGGCCCCTCGGGCACTGGGGTAGGAGGCTCGTCATAACTGCCACCTCCATGGCTACTGAGCCCCACTCTTGGGGATGGGGACAAGTGGCCACCCTGGTGACACCGCACAGCCAGCCCTGGGTTGGTTTTCCATCCCACACATGGGGAGCTGGGTCCCAGAGAAGGACCTGAGATCACACAGCAGGTCAGGCAGGTTCATAGTTCCTCCCTCCCATCTCTGCCCCAATGGCCCATGGCCCTGTCCACATTCCCTTTCCCCACAGCTCCTTTCAGACTGCAGTGATGCAGGGGCTGTTTCAAAGGGAGAGCTGACCCACGAGCCCACGGGAATGCTGGGCCCAGCAGCATTCCTGCAGGGACATCCTTAACTGGAGAAATCCCCTCCCCTGGCATTGGTGACATGGTAGCACTGTGTGTGTGTGTGTGTGTGTGTGTGTGTGTGTGTGTACACGGGCAGGCAGGAAATCAATTGAGCCCCCTTTCCACTCCTCTCAGCCCTCACAGATGTACCAAGGGCTGGCATTATCACCTGGGTTGTTCAGTTGGTTAGAGCATTGTCCCAGTATGCCAAGATTGCGGGTTCAATTACTGGTCAGGGCACATGTAAGAATCAACCAATGAATGTACCAATAAGTGGAGCAACAAATCCAGGTTCTTCTCCCTCTCCCTCTCTCTCTCAAATCAATTTTTTAAATAAAAAGGACATTTTACAGAAGGGGAAACTGAGACTCAACATGTGGCCGAGGACTAGGGGTGCAGAACTTGTGAGCCAGACAGACCGAAGAGGACACCCTGCTGTCAGCCCGCTCCCCTACAGGATGCTGGAACCTCTTCTCTGGCCCTGGGGGCCAAGGAGCCGGCCAGGGGCGGCTTGCACACCGCCTGGCTCAGCAGGCACGCTCCTCACCGCTGGCAGGGACTACCCAGAGCTAAGTGTTCTGAGGCCAGGCCAACAGCCCCTGCACAGCTTTGTGCCACTTGACACACAGCAGCCAGCCCACCTGACTGACGGAGGACGGGAACGTCCACGCCACCGTCCTTTACAGCTCACAGCACGCCTTCGTGTGCCATTGCCTCATCTGACCCAGGCAGCCAGGGGTCAGTGATTATGCCCTGGGGATGGGAGAAACTGAGGCCCCAAGGCCAGCCAGGTCTGGGAGCCTGGCAGCCCTCACCCAGCCCACACCTCATGTTGCTCTCCAAGATTTGAGCTGCAGCCTGCCCTGACCCCGGCTGCACTGGCTCAGCACCGAGATCAGGGAGGGACAGCCAGGCACAGGGCTCCTGAGGGCAGCAGCCCTGACCCTAATACTCACCCGTGGCCATGGTCAGGGGTGGCAGTGTCTCCCGGGACTGGTAGCAGGACCCTCCGGGTGGACCTCTGGCAGCTGCTGTGCAGGAGGCTGAGCGCGGGGGAACTTATAGCGGCTCCAGGACGGCCCGGGGGCGGGGCAGAGAGGGAAGGCGGGGACCTGCGGAGGTTGGAGGTTGCTATTGCCCGGCCTGCGCCCACGCTAGCTCGCTCGGGCTGGCCGGCCAGGGCAGGAGCCCTCGAGGGAGGGAGAGAGGGAGGAGGGAACAGTGGCCAGGCAAGGGCTCCCCCTGGGGGAGCAGACAGAGTGCAGGGCTGGGACAGCAAGGACACACAGTTAGATCAGGACACAGACACACCTGGACCCACAGGACAGAAAAATACACACAGACAGACACAGACACGTGTGGAGCCCGCACAGTCACAGACACACTCCTATACATACAACAGTCAAACCTGGACATATGGTGATATGGACACACAATCAGGTTAAAAGGATGGAGACATGGCAGGACATAGCCACAGGCAGGCACACAGGTACCCACCAGGAGCCACATACCAACACACCGAGCTCACAGACACCAATGTGCCATCAGCTCTGGACACAGAAGCCGATTGGGGCATCCACAGATATGCAAAGGTACATATGATGGACACACATGCAGACATAGTCTTGTGTACACATGCAGACATACCCACCGAGACAGGCTCACCTCTTCCTGGAGCAGAACCCAGGTAATCTGCCCATCTCACCCGTCCCTCAGATGATAGATCTAATCTATCCACCCATCCATCACCCACCCATTCATCTATCTAGCCGTCTACTCACCCAGCCGCCAATCACCCCTACCTGCTCCTTATCCTCCCTCCATTCCCATTCACTCTCATCCCTGCAGGCCGGCTGTGTGCCAGAAGGAAACAAAAAAAACTTTCCAGGAACTCAACCTTTGACCCTCCCCACTAGCATCCAGGGCTGGGGTGGGGGGGTGGCATTGCTCCTCCTGGGCCCTCTTCTCCCCCAGACTCCTGTGCTTCTGACCCACCGTGAGGTCTGAGCAAGAGGTGCAGGGGTCTGGGGCCTCCCCAAGCTTTTTTTCTACAATAACTTCCATATCTCTTGAGGGATTTCGGCTACAGAACTGGTCCCAGCTCCCATTCCCGTGGGACAAAGCGCAGGGAACAAGCCTGTGTTGTTTTAGTGGATGTTTGTCCCTGGGTCAAATGGGCCCTGCCTGGGTCTCGGTGAACAGACTCATGGCACAGCGTTGAGCCCTGCTGACCTGTAAAATGAGTGAACCTCGCTCGTAACTGCCTGGTGTTATAGATACTGTTACAGAATCGGTCCCCTGCAGCTGGCGAGAGCTCAGAGGAAGGAGCAGGATGAGTGAACATCAGTCAAGAAGCCAGTACCCACGCTGCCCTGACCAGCTGTGTGGCCAAGGGCAGGTGTTTCAGCTCTCCAGACCTCAGTTTCCCGCTCTGCAAAGTGGGGGCAAGAATTCACTCCTCACGCCCCTGGAGTAAGGCTCCATCAAAATAGCTGGGGCCGGGACCTAGTCTATAGTGCGCATTGGATAACCGGGTCCCTGATTCTTGGAGCAAAAATGGCAATGGTCCTGAGGGACAACAAAATAAATAAAAAAATAAAAACGGGTGTAATGAGAGTCCCTGCCTCTGGGGGTTAGAGACAATGTCTGCTCCGTGCTGAGCATATGGTAGATGCTCAATAAATGGTACCTAAAACATTTTATGCTCATGTTAAGATCAGGACTCCTCTTCCTCCACAAAAGTGAGGTTCTTATGTGCAGGTGAAGCAGGTGGCAAACAATGTGGACCATTTGTGGGGTGCTCAGAAGGAACGCCCTGCCTCCCAAATAAGTCTGAGGCCCAGGGTCGCTGATGCAAGGACCCCACCATTAGAGAGGTCACCCCTCCACTTTCTTAAGGAATTCTGGGCCTTGAGGTAGAGATTAAGGTGACATTTTAGAACTTCTGAGTAACCCATTATCAGTTGTTCCATCTCAATATCACAGCATGATTTTCATCATTTGTTAAATGAGGAAACGGGCTCAGAGAGGTGAAGTGGCTTGCTCAAGGTCACATAGTCAGGAAGTGGGGTACCGAGTAGGGCCTTGGTTCAGGGATCAGCCCTATAACCTGCCACGCCCGCCCTACTTCTGATCCAGAATGTCTGGTGGGCAGTGGACATTCAATATGTGTTTTTGGCATGAGAGAGAAAGATGAGTCAGAGATAATTGAAGGCAAACTAGAAGGAAGGAAAGGAAGAAAAAGAAAAAGATTCAGATTCAGATAGGTTGGGGAAACTGCCTGAGGTCACACAGCACAGCTGGGCTCCCAGACCCTGGCTCAGCTGAGCCATTCCCCAAGGATGAGGGGTCCCTAGGCAAGAGGTGGATGGCTGGGCAGAGGGTTGTGGGGGACGGGACAGTGTAGGTGGGACGGCGATAGGCATTGGAAGCCTCCGCTTTTCTACCGACTGGTGACTAATGGCAGATGAGCAGCGTCTGGGATGAGCCAGTCCAGGGAGGGAAGGGCCAGACTCCCTGAGGTGGGATGGGCTGAGGTAGGGATGAGAACAGGAGACTTGAAGGAAAGGTCAAGAGGTAGGTGTGACCTTCCATGCTTCCTTTTGAAAGGGAGCGTGGCTGGTGGCTTGTGGAGGCAGGTCTGTGTGCCACCAGCTGTGGGGAGCAGAGAACAGTGCCCTTGCCCTGGGTGGCCCTCCCAATGTGTCCATTTTTAAAATGGAAAAACTGACTTGCTCACGGTGTCCGCGGCTCCACTGCCATGCTACATCCTTCTCCCACTGCCCTGTCCCCGTGTAGGGTCTCAGGCCCAACTGTGCCCCTTAAGCTCTGTGGGCTCTGAGTCCACTGAGGCTTCAGGTTCCATTTCTGTAAAAGCAGAATCAACCCAGCCAGTGTGGCTCAGTGGTTGGGCATCAACCCATGGACCAGGAGGTCAGAATTCGATTCCCAGTCAGAGCACATACCCAGGGTTCAGGCTCGATGCCCAGTAGGACCGTATAAGAGGCAGCCATAGATGATTCTCATCATTGATGTTTCTATCTCTCCCTCTCCCTTCCTCTCTCTGAAAATCAACAAAAACATATTTTGAAATAAATAGATAAAATAAAAGCAGAACCCTATCCCAGCCCTCAGCACCACAGGACAATCCCAGTCTGCCTTGTCTAAGGCCCAGTGTGTGTGCGCCTCTGTCTCCCTCCACCCCCCTGGTTTTAGTGGCTGCTTAACAAATGTTTGCTGAATAACTAAATGACCTGTGGGGGAGAGAGAGAGAGAGAGAGAGAGAGAGAGGGAGGGACAAAAGAGAGAGAGAGGAGAGAGAGAGGAGAAAGAGAGGGGGGGGGAGAGAGGGGGGGAGAAAAAGAGGGGGGGAGAGAGAGAGAGGAAGAGAGAGAGAGAGGCAGAGAGAGACTTGTCCAGCCTTCAAGCTCTGGAGGTTAGCCCAGCTCCAAGCCTTGGTTGGCGAAATCTGTGGTGCCAGCTGTCCATGGCAGAACCAGGAGTCAGCGTGTGGTGCTGGAGCCTCCTAGGAAGCCTTGGTGCCTCCATCAGAGATGAGCGGTCTGAGCCGAAGGTACTCTCCAGTCACAGCTGTTACAAGCCCGGGGTAAAAGGACCCTGCCGAGCCTCAGAGGCCTCGGGCAAACAATCTTCCCTGGTCCCACAGCAAGTTAGGGCGGGGCAGGTGCTCCAGACGCTGCAGAGAAGCCAGAACCGGCCCTGCACCGCGCCCCTTGATTTTGAACATGTAGAAGGCTGCTTTTTCTCCATTTGCTGAAGGGAATGCATTGTAATGGGAGTGGGACGGAACATGAGGCTCGCCTGGTGTCATCAGTGATGGAGTTCAAAGCTTCAGGTTCCATCCCAGGGCCCCTTCTCACTGTCTATGTGGCCTCAAATACCAGTCTCCAAAGAAAAGAACTCAAAACGCTTAGCCCACCGGGCTCCGAGAAGGAGATCCTGAGAAGTGAGAGCCCCTTCGAAAGAGAGTAAGTTGACTCTAGCATTGTTGTCACCATTAAGCGCTTCCATTTCTTAACTGTCCAGACACCCCAGGGAATGGGGAGTGTTAGGATTTTTGGAGAGTGGAGTCCTGCCCATTACAGGCAGTAAAATGTGATTTACTCATAGGAAAACCCGCTTCAGACCCTTACTCACAACCAATTATCACTTACTTGACATACAATTTTAATCAAAATGTAACATCCTAACCTAAAGATGAGACGTTCAGACATTAGGATTGGGGAGAAGAAGTGCCAGATGTGGGAGGTACCCAGGGAGGGAGCCGTCGGAAAAGACTCACAGAGAATCTCTGACGCTGGTAACATCTGGGGCCACTGGGAGCTGGGCAAACCAGCCTCACAGGGCAATCAGCAGCGGTCATGACAATGACCTAGGCATCCTATGAATAGAGACTTTGTGATGAGCACATCAGGCCTATGAGATACTTTTTACTTCGGTCCTGCTTCTAGCAGCAGCATGGCTCGGCTACAAGGACATAGTTCAAGTTCAGCTCTGCCATTCCCTTTCCTGTGTGACCATTGGATAAGTCACAGCACTCTCTAAGCCCAGTTTCCTCATCTCTATGATGGGGACAAAGTAGTGCCTATTTCATAGGATTTCTGTGAGGATTAACTCCATGCCTGGTAGAGAATTGTCACTCAAAAAGAATGGCTGATTATTTAATAATAATAATAATAATAATAATAATAATAAAAGTACTGATTCATGCTACAACATGTAGAAACTTCAAAACTATTATGCTCAGTGAAAGCAGCCAGTCACAGAAGACCACATATTATGTGATTCCACTTATATAAAACTAGAGGCCCAGTGCATGAAAATTCATGCACTGGCCTGACCCCATCACAGTCTGGGAGCCCTCAGGGGCAGGAGGCGATGCCCCCATCACACCTCTGCTGCTGCCACTGCCAGCAGTGCAAGTCTCTGCTGGCCCTGGTTACCTG